ACACTTTACCAGTAACGCCCACCCAGTAAAATAAAAAATCATAAGCGAGGAGGTTGGTCAGTCATCAGTATATCGATAAATGACTGATCTAATCTGGCTAATGATCGTAGGAGATGTTTCGCACGCCGTTCCGAAACGTGATCTGGTGTGGATGCATGACCGAGCGCCCTCAGCTAAATGAGTCCATTAAAGCTAACATGGTCAGCATCCAATGTCGAACACTTATAAAGCCGTTGATTTTGGCGATTTGTTTGCAGCTACACAATTAAAAGAAAATTTGAGATAGACCAACATTTCAAATATGATGGCTTATATCAATTTTATGCTTAGCTTGTTGATTGGTGCCGAGTTGCGATTGACTATGATCACCACTACAATAAGATTACGTGCCAGATAACGACTTGGATCCCTCGGTAGGCCGAAAACCAGAAGGCTGTAATTGGTCCAGTTAAGATATATTTATTGGCGATCTCGTTGTATCGAAAGAATACCGAGACGTGCGAAAGAGTACAGGCAAAATGGCAGAGCGTCTGAGTGTTCGCACGAACAAGATGGACAACGGAACGAAAAGTGATTTGGTTGCAGTTAAAAAAACAAGTACCGTAAAACAATCACTGCTACATTTGGTTGTTATAATAATTGTTTCCATTATACCAATCGCGTTCTCGTCATAAAAAGTAGGTCACTTCAAGCTAAGATCTTGCTAGCTGTAAAGGTTTGGCCAATAAGCGTAGTAGATAATCGATTTAAACAGAAGGATGTACTGGAGAGCAGTGTATAAATGGAGAAGAAATATATTTAACGTTCATGGCGTGTACGTTTTTTGATACCTGTAACTAAATGTAAGTGAGCGAACTGATATCAGTAACTTTTTGCAAACATGTTCGTATTTTCAGTGAAACTATCCACCCATCTATAATATATTCTTCAACAAAATAATTCAACCGATGTTTTTCAGAATGTTAAACAGTAGCAACCTATTCGAGGTTTACACCAAAAAGTGACAAAGCACATAGCAACAATCCGGAGTTTTACAACGCCTTTAAATGTAACACTTTTATAGTCACAGTATACCAACCCAGTAATCAATGAAGGTAAATTTGGAAAGCTATTAATATGTCGAGAAGTGTTTGGTCCAGGCTGGCTAACAGTTGCAAGTGATGCGTATCACTACGCACACACTCGTGATCTCGTGCGCATGCGTGACCGAGTGCCTTCAGCTAGGGTTAGTCCAGTAAAACTAACGAGGTTGGCATCAATGTTGAAGACTAATAGAACTAATAATTCCGGGGATTTATTTACGGCGACAATAGTTTATGTTGTAAGCAGTGACTGTGGTGGTTTTCAGACATGAACAGATTATGTAAACATGCTAACTTCTGAGAACCACGCTAGAATATGTGCGCTGCAGATACGATCTTGATCGCGCGCTATTCGAACGGGAAGTTTAGTCCTAACGTGATTTACATTTCTCAAACTTTTGCTGTGTTCTTACGCAACAAAAGTATCATTTCCAATCCAAAGAATCTATTCTGAGCTATACGTTCGGTAGATTACTTCTTTTTTCTGTTTCACTCAAATTAATAGTTAACTGTGGTTTTGCCTTAGCTCACTATCAGTTTTTTTTATAGTTTTCACGTAAAGGCTAGCTTTAGCTTATAGTTAACTGTTTTTATACATTTTTGATAGTTTTTGTTTACTGTGTGTTTTTTAACGGTCCTAAATTTACTGCTTATATTTTTAAGACAGTCTAAATCACTAGCCATGAAAAATTCATGCAAGAGACCTGGTTGCCGTTTTGCCGTTACATCTGGCATGCAATGTGACAACTGTAAAGGTTGGTTCCATGAGGCATGTACAGATCTAACAGCAGCAGCCTATAGCAGACTCAGGAAGTCTGATCGTAGATGGGTATGTGTTACCTGCAACACCGATACGGTAGTTATGTTGGGTACTATCATTACTTTACTGACAGGTCTGAGAGATAAGTTGTCTAAGAATTCGGTAAATGATATCATCATGACGGGTAACAAAGCTGGAACGCATAGGGCAAATAAGAAAAAGGATACTGACAGGTCGGTTATCGACGGTGCTGTTAACAGCACGAGTGATGATGTGCTGAAACTCAGCACCATCTTAACATCGACTGTCATCGACTCCCTCAGTAAATTTGGGTCCCCCGGGGAACGGTCCTTGAATGAGACAGTGGTTCCTAAAAATCCTGTAGGTGGATGGACTCACGTTAACAGGAGTAATAAAGCCCAAGCGTCCCCTCCGAAACTGAACGTCCCAAGTATCGTGCGGAAATCAATTGATGCTTTGGCCGCACAGTCTACACCTAAGACTGTCCGCTCGGTCATCACTGAGCCCAGGAATCGAAAACGCGCCTCGATATCCAAACAACAAGATACCAAACCTAGACGCCCTGGAAAACCTGGGAAATCAATTGCGGTTCGTGACGACTCTGTCATAATCATGAACCTTATTGACAACCCCGACCTTCCTCTCAGTTTGCAGGACAAAAACGATAGGATGCTCTGGGGAGAATTAACCAAGAGGCTTGAACTCCCTGGAATAGAGCCTTTGACCGTCACACGGCTCACTCGGGGGAAGGACTCTAACCACCTAAACCACCCGAGGCTGCTTCGTGTTACACTTAAGAATGCCTCCGACGTAGAGGACGTCCTGCTATCCAGTCACTTACTGAGGTCCGATGGGAACGTAAGAATACTGCCCGACATACCGTATTCTGAACGAAATCTCATCCGGAACATCCCTAAGGAATCTCGCGAGGCGTTTTTCCGTGGACGAAATATCATTGTGCAAGGTGTGCCGGAAAATATGGACCCAGCTCAAGCAAACTCTGATATTCGGGAATGGAAATTCATCAAGCATTCCTTAAAACCCAAAAACATATTGACCCAACAGGTAATGAGACTGGCCAAGAGAGACGGAGACTCTAGGCCCCGGCTGCTGAAGATAACCTTCCCCTCCTCCCACATGGCGGCTGCAACTCTGGAAGCATTTCGTGCCAATAGACGTCGGTTGCCAACTGGCATCCATATGCATCCGGATAGGCCCCACGACAGCAGGATCAAGCACAAACGAAAGCTGGAGCTGACAATTCCACTCGTGGACTGTCTTGATCATAAAAAAAACTTGTAAAGGACAGGGACTACCAACTCGGTAAACATCGTATAGGTAGGCTACCTGTCCACTCACACACGGCTCATATAGACAAACAAGAAGAGGCTCACGCGTTCCAAATTGAAAGCATAAACTGCCTATACACGAACGCCGCGAGCTTGCCAAACAAAATGGATGAGCTACGTGAACTTAGCAACGCTAACGATGCCCATCTGATAGGTATATCCGAAACTTGGATAACGTCTCAGTTTACGGACCAAGAGTTAGCAATAACTGGGATGTCTTTATTTCGCAACGACAGAATAACAGGAATGGGGGGTGGGGTAGCACTATACGTACGGTCATGCCTGGATGCGCAACAACTTCACAACCAAGAGTTTCACAATCTTGACGAGTCAGTATGGTGCTCAGTAAGATTATCTACCACCTCGAGGTGCCTAGTTGGGGTCGTTTACGGGAAGCCCACTGCCGACATCGAATATGACAAACGTCTGCTGGAAGGATTAACTCGCTCTACGCGTCTCGGATTCTCTCATATCCTGATTCTAGGGAATTTCAATCTCCCTAGAATCAACTTCGTGGAACATACATACATTGGTGGTGCCAACTCTACTGAAGCTTTGTTCTTCAACCTTATCGGCGACCTGGGATTATTTGAAAATGTGAAGTCGGCAACCCGTTGGAGAAACAGTCAGACGCCGTCACGCTTAGACTGGGTATTCACAAATGAGGAATTCCTAGTTGACGACCTCTCAATCCTGGCTCCCCTGGGCAAAAGTGATCACGCCGTCTTATCATTCAGCTTTGTCAGCAAGACGGAGCTACGATATCCTACTAGCAACAAGCGCTGGAACTTCAAACGGTTGAATGTGTTAGCTTTACAGGACTATCTTCAACAGGTGGATTGGAATGTTCGCCCTCAAATTGAAGTGGATGCTCATTGGGACTTTTTACTGCACACGATCTTATGTGCTACTGAGCATTCAGTTCCTAAAATGGTCCCAAAAAGCTACAAGCAACCTGCAATCATCAAAAACTGCACTCTTCATTTGCTAAGCCGCAAAAGGCACTGTTGGGCTGAATATAAACGAACTGATAACAACGGCGCGTACAGGCAATACAAACATATAAGGAACACATGCACAAAGGCAATAAGAGAAGACAGGCTTCAGTTCCAAACCAAGCTTATCGATAGATTCGTCTCCAATCCGAAGAGCTTGTTCAGTTATGCAGCTTCTCTTCGACAAGGCAAAACTGGAGTTTCCCAACTGCTTGGTCCTAATGGCCCGACCAACAACGACAGTGATGCCGCTAACCTTTTGGCTGAACAATACTCCCGGACATTCCGGCTGACCCACATCAACCATACTGACGAAAGCTTCACCTGCACCTGTACAGGACTTTCCGAAGTGGACCTGAGTGCTGACTTGGTTCTCCGTAAACTGCAGAACCTAAGAAAAGACACTCCTCCTGGTCCGGACATGGTTCATTCCGCTGTATTGAGGGAAGCAACTTCAATCCTGGCGACACCACTTAGCGTGATGTTTGTGTTATGCTTGACACTAAATCGATTCCGCGGTAACGAACGAAAGCCAATGACACAATGACACGATAAGCTATTCTAATCTGTTGTCCCAGGCCCCGCTAACTAGATGAAGAAGTCCAAGGCAAGTAGGGGAATATATATGTCTCCCGTAAGCAGACGAGTACAAGCAATCAAATAAGGGGAAAAGTCAAGCGCATTTATACAGTAACAAATTGTCCTTGAGCATCATTAGTAAATAGCACACAAAGAAACAATGGACCAATAGCGGTTAAGATAGTTTACAGGTGGGAAATATGACGTGAAGGTAAAAAGAGCGCTTTTGGCGCGAAAACAGCTAAATTCAAATTTTCAAAATAAAACTACAAGATTAAGCCATTTACCAAGTAAGTTCTGGGGATTTGACATCACCAACAGTTTGCACACTCGCTAAGCAGAGGCAAACTACCGGAAATATGGAAGCTGACCCACATCACACCAATTTTCAAAGGAGGTCGACGCAGTGAACCCTCAAGCTACCGACCAGTGGCCCTTCTCCCCATACCTTCAAAAATTATGGAATCCCTAGTATTCGACGGCATACTAGAACACCTATCATCCTCAAAGTTCTTCTCGCCTCAACAGCATGGTTTCAGAAAAGGTCATTCTTGTATGGCCAACCTGCTGACTGCGGTGGATAGATGGACAACCATCCTTGATCGCAAGGGGAAGGCTGACGTCATCTACCTGGACTTCTCAAAAGCTTTTGATAGGGTCAACCATGCATGTCTTATCAAGAAGCTTGGACGATTGGGTATAAAACCCCCTTTAATTGACTGGATCACTTCATACCTAGAAAACCGACATTTTTTCGTACGTCCTAAACTTGAGTACTGCATACAAGCGGCTAGCCCCTGCCTAAAAAAAGACAGTGAACTCTTGGAAAGGGTTCAGAGAAAAGCAACTAGGCTGATTCCCGGAATAGCGAAGCTCCCGTATGGTACTAGACTGACCAAGCTAAACCTATTCCCGCTGTCATATAGAAGAATCAGAGGTGACTTGATTATAGTTTTCAAATTGCTAAATGACAAATTTGCACCTGATATGCCCTCATTTTTCTTGTCTTCCAAAACAGAAAATCTACGAGGACACTCCAAAAAAGTTCACAAGCCCAGAACGAATTACTTGTCAGCTGACTACCGACTTTCCCATCGAATAATCAACGAGTGGAATTCATTACCTCAGCACGTGGTTGAGGCTCCATCCGTCGACTCCTTCAAAAGAAAGTTGGATCAGCTGAGAGACCATCATTGCCAGGACTAACACAGGCCATCAAGCCTCCTGTCCTTTCCAAACTGAAACTGATTTGAGCCCGCCACCCTTTAGGTTCAAGGTCGTTGGAAAGAAAGCAGTGTTGAGTTTGGAGGTCTGCTAATTTTCTTCTGTGTCGTCTCACCTCATTTGTTCACCCTTACCGTCTTATCAGTTAGTCCATATCAGTTTCAAGCTTGGAACACTTCGTATCACCAAGTACTAACCTCTCAACTATTTTGGCTGATCATATGATCATATATGAACTGTGAGAACTCCAGAAACCCTAGAATTATTTCATAATGACATCAAAATTCAGATGTTTGGTTGACTGTGTACATTTCTGTCTGCTCATGTCTTAATATCTGTTGTTTATCCTATTCTGTAATGCAACTGATTCTCTGAACGTTATACATTATTCAATTAATGTATAAAATCGCTCTATATGTAGTCTGAATCACATTAAATCGGACTAAGTTGACGCAACCTAATCATCTTACTCACTGATTACTGTTTGGCTGCCCGCGTGTGAAAGCCTGAAATATATTCTCTTAATACGCTTCGTATTCAACTTTTTAAACCACCGAAGTATTTTATACAAAACACTGAGTTATACTCCAGCTGGAGTTAAACAAAGGTTCAACACGTCGATCCCCACAGGTTTACAATCATAAAGTATCCCGTTTATTCTTGCTCTCTATCTTTGACCTCACGAAACGTTCTTCAGTTTTAGTATGGAAAGGGCAGGAGGCTTGATGGCCTGTGTTAGTCCTGGCAATGATGGTCTCTCAGATGGTCCAACTTTTTTTGAAAGAGTCGACGAATGGAGCCCCAACCACGTGCTGAGGTAATGAATTGCACTCATGGGAAAGTCGATAGTCAGCTGACAAGTAATTTGTTATGGGCTTGTGAATTTTTTTGGAGTGTCCTCGTAAATTTTGTTTTAGAAGACAAGAAAAATGAGGGCATATCAGGTGCAAATTTATCACTAAGCAATTTGAAAACTAATCAAGTCGCCTCTGATTCTTCTATATGACAGCGGGAATAGGTTTAGCCTGGTCAGTCTAGTACCATACGGGAGCTTCGCTATTCCGGGAATCAGCCTAGTTGCTGTTCTCTGAACCCTTTCCAAGAGTTCACTGTCTTTTTTTAGGCAGGGGCTAGCCGCTTGTATGCAGTACTCAAGTTTAGGACGTACGAACACTGTATACAGAGTCAGAAACGTTTTAGCGTCGAGATGCCTAAAAGCCCTACATATGGACCATAAAGTTATAAAACCTTTGGCAGCTATTGCACGGCAGTGTGCAGTAGTCTTTAAGTCTTGACTAACGATGACTCCTAAGTCATTGTGTGTCTGGACTATAGGTAGCTCAGTGTTATCGTGTATGTATCTGTACCCTGATGGCCAATATGCATCACAATACACTTGGAAGTATTTATCGGCAATTGCCAGGTTTGGGACCATTCAGATAATTTCTCCAGGTCGTTTCGGAGTTCTAAGCTATCACTCTTACTTTGTATCGCTCTCCATATATTGATATCCTCAGCATAGAGCAAGGCTGATGACGATGGTAGACGAGGGAGGTCATTTACGTACAAGAGAAATAACACTGGCCCCAAAACTGTGCCCTGGGGGACTCCACTAAGCACAGTTTTCCGGCTAGACAACTTGGAGTTCACCTGTACTCTTTGTTGACGTCCAACCAGGAAGTCTTTTACCCACATCAATAGATTGTCTCCAATCCCGACATTCCTTAGTTCATATAACAGCCGGCTGTGCGGAACTTTGTCGAAAGTTTTGCTGAAGTCGATGTAGGCTATGTCTACAGGTAACTTTTGGTTCTTAAGAGCGCACCAGCTTTCACGAGCGACTAATAAGTTAGTGAGAATAACCTGTTCTAAAACCATGCTGCTTCTCCGAGAGGATCCGGTTTTTATCGAGGTACTTAAACAGCTCCTTCCGAGTAATCTTTTCTAAGATTTTAACAACCACACTAGTTAGGTTAATGGGTCGGTAATTCTCAGGCTTATGTTTTGCACCTGTTTTGAAGACAGGACTTACTATGGCGTTCTTCTAGTCCTTTGGTAGACGACCCTGGGTTACGGATAGATTAAAACATATACTTAAAGGGTTCGCAACAAAGTTAGCTAATTCCTTTAGTAACCTAGGATGCAGTTCATCGGGTCCAGTGGATTTGTCTATGTCAAGCTTATTCAGCAGACCAAGGACATCGAGTTCTTTAACGGTCAGACTGTCCAGTGTTTGTGTGTGTGGATTTTCATGGACTGGTGGGGTGTTTTTATGGTATATACATTGCTAAAGTATTATGAGAATACTTGAGCTTTGCCAAAGTCGTCCTCCACTAGTGATGAGGCAGTACTGTCTCCCCATAGTGAAGGGACATTTCTCCTTCTTTTTGTCGTTTAGTTTATATACGAATACAAGCGTTTAGGGCATTCTATGGATTCTTTAACGATTTTCTCTTCTTATAGCTCTCTGGACTTACGGAGGGTCGAGGCACAGGTGTTTCGAGCCTTTCGATACTGAGATTTTGCCTCGTCAGACCCCAGTAACCTAAACCTATCCCACATTTTCCTTCTTTTACGGAGAAGGATGCGAACCTCCCTGCTGAACCACGGTGGGGAGTTTCTCGGCCCCCTAGGTGTAGTCCAAGGGATGTGGGGGGCAGTAACTTTTAAGTATAAATTTCGAAATACGTCCCAAGCCGTTTCGATCGAGGACTCTAGGTCTATTGTCCAATCTACTGATGATGCTGAGTGCATGATGTCTTACATGTTTGCTTTCCAGACGTTAGGTCTAGATTAGGCTGACGCGTGCTCGTGATCGACAGTTATATGGAAGTCAAAAGTTAAAACTGCATGATCACTTTTGCCTAGGGGTGGCATGTAATCAAGGTTCGCAACGTCATCCTCATAGTGAGTCAATATAAGATCTAGTAAGGATGATGCAGAGCCCGGGTCGTACCTAGTTGCTTCTTTCACATGTTGCACTAGGGCACATGTGATAACCGCATCAACTAGTTCCTGTTCGAAGGAATGATCTGACGATTCAGTTCGCAGATTTCCCCAGTCTACCATGGGTGCATTAAAGTCCCCTAGGATTAGACATCGATCATTTCGTGACCAAGTGTTGAAACTGCTTAGCAGAACCTGATTTACCTCACAACTTGGACTGCAATAGATTAAACCAAGCAGCAGCTCTTATCCCTTGCATTTCAAGCGGTAACTAACTAATTCATACGTCCCACTCATGAAATACACTGTCGATAATGGCGAATGGAATAGCATTCCTAATGAGTAGAGCTACTCCCCCTCCTTTACGCTTTTGCATTCTGTCGGCCCTTACTAATGTAAATTATCTATAGACTGCGTCAGCCAAGTTTCTATGACTGCGATTATGCCTTTGCACAGGTGTGTATCGTACTCATCATCCCGAGGTTAGTAAGTTTCTGCATAGGTTAATCATGATACACCTTACCGAACCTTATTGATATAGTTTCAGTTTGTTGGTTCGCCAAAGAGTAATGGTCAGCGCGAATGTCGTGTTTATTCAGCGTTAGCAGATTTTGCGATTCTATGTGACAAGGCAGACTACTCTTTATGACTGAGGTTTTGACAACTGCTGCGGTTAAAATTACAGGTCAGCAGTTAGATGCAAGCTGTCTATTTAACTTTCCGAAAATAGGGGTTATTATGATATCCTTTCAGTCATTTGAGAACTGAATCTGGCGTAAGTACACGTTAAAAAAACTCAGTAAGTGATTAAGAAGTAGTGCCTTTCAGGAATAATGTCGGTTAGAGATATATTTCATCAAAACCTGACTAGTTAACCTGACGATTTCCTTAGGGAATATAATACTCGACAGATTCTGTACTGATAGTATGACCATGGGGCGTTTACGGCAATGTTTTCAGAGGGGATCTCACTTAAGTAGTTTGAGAATTTTTGGGTGAGTCAGGTTATGCTATCTTCACACTGGTCAATCAGTAACTAGTAATGTACTCTTCATCATCGTTCACTGCAGTCTCAGACCATGGAAGAAAAGCAATCATTTCTTCCCAGTTTATCCATGTTCTTTGCTTTTAAAGGTCAAGGATCAAACTGTTTTGAAATATACTTGACCTCTTATAGCTGAACAAATATCCGATCGGCCCCATAGGTGACGTAAGTTGACAAGGCTAAGCAGGTTTTACATATGCTAAGGTTATCACATTCAACACACCAAATTTGATAAGATGCTTACCCATCCGACTAGATTTCTTGCTATGAGACTATTTGTAACTTGCCGTCTTAATTCTTCATATAAATATGTGGCTTCCTAATTCTTATTTATTCATAACAAAATTTGTGACACAATAGGGTACTGAAAGGATGAAATGCCTAAATTTCGGGTGATTATCCTGTCCAAGTATATCTTCCGATTTTTTTTCAGCACCGGAACAGTTGCTTATAAACCTGGAATCAATTTCATCAGAGGATTCAATCATGTCAACAAATATTCGAAATGATCAGAAATCCCTTAATTATGTATGGCAGAATGTTCTAAATGTAATGCATTAATGATCTAAGATCTTTTATTTATCCATAAATTTAATCTCACTTCCAATGAATAAGACAGGGAAAAAACGGGAAAAGGGTTACGTTGGAGAGTCTATTTTGTCTTATTTTATCCGAGACACAAAATACAAAGCTTCCGCCGAAACCTTGAACCCATGTAATATACCTACATCTCTCCCAGTATCTAAAAGCAATCCACTCGAAAAAACTCCTAGGAAGTGCCCTTTTTATAAGTGGATTCCAGGTTTGTCAAATGATTTAAGTTTATAGTAATGATAGATACATCAATTACTGTTGATGCTTTCTGTTATGCTGAAATTCCTGGATGTACCTGTTACTTCCTTTCCCATTTCCATTTTGACCATTTCAGGGGCATCCACAAGAATTTCAAAGGAGATATCTATTGCAGCGAGGTATATTTTCATTTCCTTTTATTTATGGTCTTAGGTAACAAAGAGTCTTTTAAGAGATGCTTATGGTTTGGGGCTGGTCATTAATGTGCTTGAGATAGAGAAGAGTACAAAGATTGGCAATGTAGAAGTAACAGCTTTAGATGCTAATCAGTAAGACTATAGTGAAATATTCATTTGTTCTTCATTTCTGTTTTTTTTAATGTTTTAGTTCTGCAAAAAGTTATGGTTGTTTATAGCTTGATGATTGTCTGTGGTTAGCAAAATTCAGTAGGGTAGAATTGTCATTTAAGTTTTTGCCAGGGAATGTGCTGTATTACTACTGTCACTTCTTTTAAAACGTTGAACGGATAAGACTTTCGTAATCGTCCTGAATAAATGAATCCGGGTTTAGTTATTTCTTTATATCGCATTAACAATCTTCAAAATCTTGGGGACTCATTTAATTATTCCACACAAATAGCCGGAAAATAGGTTGATACTGTAAACAACTTTTCAAAGTGTAAATTGAACTCTAAACTATGCCAGTGTTTGCAGTTCATTGATGTAGGTCTTTGGGTTTTCACTTTCTACAAAAATATATAACAGTCGACATTTTCGTAATTATATTTGTGGACATGAAACCAGGTACCAAAGCCTTCCGTAGCCCATTATTCGCTTAAAATTCAGCTAAAACAGATGTTGCAGTTAAAAAGATGAACAAGTTGATGATGTTTCAGTCAAGCATATACTTTTGAGAACCTTCCCCAAACGTATACCATACTTCACATTAATGTAGCAGGAGGAGCTTGATAGAATGTAGAGAAAAGGTATCAGAATGATATTAATAGTGCTATTCAAGGCTGATTCATATAGTTTAAAAAAAGTTCAGCCATGGAATGATAATTATGAAAAAATAATTAGGTTTTAAATATTAGATGTATAAATCAGCACCACTGCAACTGATTCCCAATCATAGATCGCTCTGATCTATCTAATTTTATTCAAACATCACTTCTCAACGCTGCTCAGACGAACAATCAATGACAATGCACTGATGTCATGCCTTTGCCCAACTACCGTCAACATTTTCCTAGCCCGCTTATATCCTGACCAGAATTGTATGTAGTTATAGGTTTTACTAGAGCGTATGTAACACAAGTGCCAGCTACCTCAATTGTTTAGAGTTCATGACTTCATAAATAAACCTGCCATTTCTACCCGAAACCCTATATTTGTCTAGCCAAAGGTCCCACCATAATACGAATAATATTGCGAATGGATCTAGAATCAAATACGAGCAATATGTGCATATATCTTGCTATCGTAGGTTATATTTCATAACCATAAGATAGTGCGCTTGAGTACTTACCCTGCATAGTGTATTTTAATTTCAGTATGGCTAGGATACTTTAGAGGTTGACAATATTTTGTCTGTAGTTATTGGTAATGTGTTTAAACTTTAGCGAAAACATGAACAGTATTCTAACATGGATTGCACGCGGGTAATATTTTCGAGCATAGTGTGCTGTCTTTCAGATCTTGGTGTCAACCTCAATCTGTATCTCCGGTGTAAATGCCTATAATGAAATTACTTCTCATGGTTAATCTTCTCCCTTTGTCCCCAAATGAAATATTGTGGCTAGCTAAACGTTATCACATATAAAAACGAAGTAAAATAAACAACCTAAAAACTGGCACGGTAATGTTTTGGGTCAAGTTGTACAGTGTCTAATCATTTCAAACTTCGGAACAAATTGGCACAGTAAGTATGAGGACTTATAAAAAAAAATATTTGCTTCATCATACCGGACTTCAGAAAATCTCATTGAGTTCTCGATTGTCAGTTTCTGCTTTAAAGACAACAAAGAAACGTAAAATTTGTCAAATATTTCTAACCAGTAGCCAATAACTTCACGGATTAGCTTAGTCTCATAATTCAACTAGGCTGAAACCTTTTTCCAACTGGTTACTAATTATAGTATTTCACATCCATATTGTTAGCAGTGCGGTATATATAGTTCACATCGCTGACAACTCACTGTATTCATTTTTCCAATGTATATTCATTGTTTTATTTTACTTTCTAAGAGTTCTTCCTGTAAGTTCAAGTTAAATTTTCTATAATTCTACCACACTTCACATGTTTTTCAACTGATCACCGAACACTGACAAAAGTGAAATTCACAATCTGCGCTTCTAAACCTTTACATAGTTAAAAATATATTCCATTTTAAGTCTATGAGAACTAATGTTTTTCAAATCAAGAACCAGCAGAAGCTACTGGATAAATAGAAGTTTAAATAACATAATGAAGCAAATTTTATTCCCAATTTTAAATCCATTTTACATTGATTCCTGGCGATTTCCCTGAAATTCTTATTTTAAATTGAAGTCATAATATAATAAGGTTTATCAATGCATGTCTATGCTACTATTTTATTCTATTTTCCCCACTAATTTATCTTACAGTTGTCCTGGCTCTTTAATGTTCCTTTTCTATGTGCCATCAAAACAGAGAACGTATCTGCATACCGGTGACTTTCGTTATACACCATCAATGTTAACTCATCCAAGCATATTAACAAATTACATATCGGACAACAGTGCTTCTAAAAAATTACCAAGAATACATTCAATATTTTTGGATACAACGTAGGAGTCCTGTTTTCTTTTTAGATATTTTTTAGTGTATATATTTGTACTATTAGTACGTTTTTCCATTCTAAAATAAGCTAAAATCTGTGGGGGATATGGAAGTAAAACTTATGAAGAAGAAAATCAATATTAATTTAAGATCAATGTAGTGTCAACACATTTTTTCCGCACTACTTGATGACTTTCACTGCATTTTTACTGATTTGTGTTTAGTGATATTTACTCAGTTCATAAATTCCAGTCATTGTAACTGATACGTAACAGATTAACTAGGATGTTTTAAAAAAATTCTATTAAGGTCATCACCAGTATACCTTTTCTGGCGAAACTGGACCTCACTCTAGTTAGTGGGACAGGAAATAGAAAGATAGAAGTAGTCTCGTTCATTATATTGAAGCCAGAGTTGCGAATTGTTAATCTAGTCCATGAACGTAGCAAAATCTCTTAACTTATGCCTTTATATTTTAAATACACTACTTGAGCATTATCTTATGTATGACGATTACTGTTATAATAATTCTCACTGTGTTAAGATATAGTGGTGTATATAATCTAACTTTAGATGAAAGATTTTGTTCTAAATCATTCACATAAACAAAAGGTGTTGGAAACGTAGAAGAAATGACTAAAACCGTAATGGTTGCAGTCAGTTTCTTAATTTATTTATTTCTACCAGCCTAAATTGATTGTTGGATAATCATATTTCTGGGTAAAGAGCCACAATATACGGTGTGATAACCGAAATTATGAATGCCGTATAGACGATGTTTTCTGGGAAACAATTCAGTATCTTCCCAATTTTTATATGACATTTCCCGGCCGACGCAAACCACTTTGTGTGGCGCATATGTACCTGGTGCCCTTTTGTACCAATATATATGTGTTTAAATAAATAAATAAATAAATCTCTCACTGAATTACGGTACCATTAAAGTAGAGTATTATTGGACTTAAGATTTATTAGATGTGGAAAACTCGAATACAGTACCAGTATCTAATGCTTCTAAAATGTTTCTTTTTTAATTTCATGTTGACTGTAATTCAGTTTTCGTTACATAAGTTTTGTAGGATGTTACATTTAAAAAATATTGATATGTTTTCCAATCAAAATTATTTGTTGTCTCCACCTAAGAATGATCAGTTGATTACTCCTATGTTATTACTGTTTTTACATTGTTTCTCGTTTCCCGTGTCTAGATGGGACTTTTGACAAGATAGAAAATTTTCATGTATTCATTTTATGAATGATCTATCAATTTTTAGATATTGTTCATCTCAGTATGACTTTCCGAATCAAGTGGATGTTATTCATGGAGCACTGGAAGTTACACGTGATTATCTGATAAAAGATCCTACCATTTTAGTTGTTTGTGGAATGTACTCAATCGGCAAGGAACGATTTACTCTTGGTAGGTATTACTGATAACAGTAAGGTTCTAATTTTTTTATTACCATTATGCATAAGCAATAGTTCCCACTAATTGTAAATATAGTACCCGATCAAGTTTCCAAATTATTGAACAGACTATGTCATTTTCATTTGAAATTTCTTTGGTTTTCTGAAGTTATTAGGGGTTAATTTGCTTCATTCATCACTAATTAATGTAATCCTGTAGTATTGACATGAATAACCGGTATATGTGCATGAAATATTACGTTTTGTATATTTCTCTAACGTCTACGAATGAATAAGATCTGAACAATCAAATGCTTTTGTACAGTTTTTTCTTTCTACATTTTCAGTAGATCGATTACAGTCATTGTAATCAAACAATATATTTTTTTAGTTATTCAGTGAATTCGCTTGTTAACTGAAATAGTTGTATTAAATGTTTCTCAAAATACATATTTTCCCATCACAATTCTTTTCACTCTTTATCTTCTTATAAACCTTGGATTTGGTGTCATTTTTAGCATTTCATTCTCCGATCTTTTTTTTCTTAACTTCATTTCTTATGTTTTTAGTATCTTTAGTGTATGGTTAGCAGTGCAATCTAAGTTGGTCGTTTTTCTATATTCGGAACTCGTCAGTTAGATATGCCTCCGTGTTCATGTTCTCACTGAGATTCGAACACATTGTTTCGCGCTTTAAACGCTAGCGTGCTTCCTACGAAGCTATTGATTCCAGACAACTACCAACGTATTCAACAGATTTGAAGATTTTAGTAGAGATCTGTACTTTTTTCTTCATTGACATTCAAAAATAAGAATGTTAGTTATTGTTGGGATCAGTAGCTCAATAGATAACTCGTCGAAGTTTGAAGCGAAAGGTCTTGAGTTCAAGTTTCAGTGTGGACATCATCATTAAGATGAAGGTAAATGCCAATGAGTCTGAAATAAGACGAAATGAGCAGTCTGGATCCCACCGCTAGCCATATTATCAAATACACCAAAAATTTGCGGCTAAAGGCAATATCTAAAAACTGCTTAGGATGTATATATATTATTATGAGTTTTTCAGTAGCATTTTTCATGTACAGATTTCTACTACTTTCTATATTGTCTCCCACCCCATGCTTCTCATCTTGTTGGTCTCCTATCTAATTTTACTGATTCAGGTTTTATTAAGCATATATACCTTTGCTAAGTCCTACGTTGTTAACTTACTGACTGTTCACAACTAAGAGAAGTTATTCATACAGATAGTTGATAATAAATTGAATTTTTCATAGGGTTAGTAAATAATTAATCTAAAGAAGTAGACCAGGCTTACCTAAATTTATTGGTAAAGTAAAGTGAGGGATTCCCGAATAAACATTTCAAAATAGATCTCAAGATACTGGAACATCAAGATATCATACAACTGACAATTAGAAAATAGCATTACGAAGAATGTGCAACATATATAGAAATATCAGTTTGAATACAAAATAGTTTCTAACCATTCGATACTTATAGACTTATTAAAGTACAGTAAATTTTAGCTTGTGTAATTGATCTTTGATTACTTTAAATTATTTATGAGATATAAGCCAGCGTATCATATCAACTTTCATGTGAAAAAGGATAAGCAACTGCACTTCATGAAATCTTAATTTTCAGTTAAAAAGGGACACTAATTCAGATCTACTACGTACAACTAAAGGGGGACGTATATATTTACATTTTATTGTGATTTAGTTGGTCTACGTTTGTTATATAAATAAAGACAATACTACTCTATCGAATTTTACAGACTGACATCATCAGTGTACATTCTAGCTCAGATATGCGTTATAGGAAGTTGGCATACCACATTATTACAAAAAGACGAAAATAACGAAAGAGATCGAAGAAGTGTAGTAGCAATGGTAGAAAGAGAAACTAAATCATTAGAATATGGCTTAGAAAGACCACTCGAAATCATCTCGTTGATAACGAAATGCCATCTTCAATAAATATTGCGTTTTACTGGAAAAGTTTTATTCAAATGTTTTTATGAAGTTAAAAGGTATTCCCTTTATCATTGAACTCAAGATCTGCAGAGTAAAATTTTATAGTCTGAATTAATCTCATAAACTGAAATTACCATGTATTTAGAAAAACAGTATATTGTTTATGAACTACTCATAAGTAGACAGTTGTGGATTTCATGAAATTCATTGGTACTAAATACCTTAATTCTGCTTAGCAGCTGTGGAATTATTCAATACAAAAAGTTATGGTTGTTTCGTTTACGATTCAAGTAATTGTAAACAAATGTTGGATAGCAAGTGAATTGTTTGCATATATTTAATTAATACGATTAGAAATATATAAACCTAACTACGCCTGAGAAAATCGTCAACATTATCCGACCTGGCCCTTCTTTCCCATACACACCAACAAATGCAGGTCAAGACAATTAGTGTGTCAGCAGCCTCTGCATCAGTAGGCCTCAGCAAGGGAAAAACCAACATCCTCAAATACTACACAGAGAATACTAACCCAATCACACTTGATGGAGAAACTCTTGAAGAGGTGGAATGTTTCACGTATCTGGGCGGCATCATCAATGAACTTTCAGGATCCGATGCAGACGTAAGATCAAGGATTGTCCTTTGTCCAAACCAATAATGTGTTAACCAGTACTAGCAGCTTTGAGTCTACTCGTGGTCCTTATCGGTCCGCTGTATAGTAACTTCTCTCCTAGCCTAGCCCGTTCAGTCCAAAACACAAATATAAACTTCCACTGTGTGAATCGTATATTTTAGATATACTTGGTTTATATACAAGCAGACCAGACCACATCACACCATAAAATGAAAAATAATAATTATACAAGATCAAACCAAAAGTGGCTGTTAGTGTGGGATACTGTAACTGATAAATTGGGAATAAGTTAAGATTGGTAAATTGTATTGAAGTAGCCAGTAGGTCAAATGAAGGCTCGTGATAAAAAGAATACGAATTTATTTATAATCGAGTTACTTAATAACTATCCAATGAGAATATATGTAGTAGTAGTCCATTAATAATTCCTAGCAGTTACCATTCATTTATTCTTCGTTCGGATATAACATACATAAAATGTTATATCCCGAAGAGAATTATGAATGGTAACTTTTGAGAACTATTTATGGGCCAGTATGATACATATATTTCCTATTACATAATTGTTAAGTAACTTAACTATTCATACTCCTTTTATTATAAGCTTTATTTTGACCCATAGACTATTACTATACGATTTACCATTCTTGAGTTGTCTCTAGTCTCTTAATTACGGTTCCCCACATTCACAGCCACTTTGGGCTGAATCTTGTACAAATGTTATTTTCTATTTTATGGTACGATGTGATCAGTTTGTTTGGTATATAAACCCAGTATGTTTGAGAATAATGATTCATATTGCAGAGGGTGTTATTGGTGTTCTGGAGTTAACTAGCTGGGCTAGGCAGATAGCAGGACCGAGTAGTGCTCAAGACTACTCATACGGGTTTCGGGTGTCATTGGTCCGATCGATGAATCTCCACTCTCTAATAGGCGGATACAAGATAATGACAATAGGAGGACACACGTTATAACAACAAACGTTTATTTATTTAGTTTTCTATTCATAGCCTGTCATTTGTAGTATTTATTGGCGAATTATTCGCACATATTTTGATATCATTTCATTTTATTCTACTTGTTATATTTACTTTGCGTATTGAAACATCCTTGTGTCTATTATTATTATTATTATTATTATTATTATTATTATTATTATTATTATTATTATTATTATTATTTTACTGTCTGTCATGTGCGATATGAGGAGAGTAACGTGATTGTACGATTCGAAACCATAAAGCTACTTTGAGAAAATAGTAAAAATGGGAGTGTGAATTTATTCTCAATTAACATGTGCTTCGAGTTTCGTAACGTGGTCACTTGATCCTTTTTTTAAAAAGAGGAAGGTATACTTTTATTCTAACTTTATATTTCGTTACTTTATTGTTGTTATTATTTATAAATAAAGTATGACTCAAGCATACAATCAGTCACACAAAACGCATTATTATTATTGTCATTAGTAAACATTAATTTTTGTTTATACATTAAAATGAATGAACAGAATTCCTGATAATTTTATTTGGTAGAGCTACTGTGATAGTTATATGTAGGGTGAGTTAATTATACAATTATCCTGATTAAGTAGTTGTAGAAGAGTAAATATGAGTCACCTAGTTCCGATTGGGTCTGATAATACAATTTACCTACTTGCCTATGCTTGTTACCCCCAATAAAGCATAGGCCGCTGACCAGCATTCTCCAACCTACTCTGTCCTGGGCCTTCTTTTCTAATTCTATCCAACTTTTGTTCATTCTTCTCATATCTGTCTCCATTTCTCTGCGTAATATGTTCTTTGATCTTCCTCTTTTCCTTTGACCTTCGGGATTCCATGTGAGGGCTTGTCTTGTGACTCAGTTGCATGCTTTCCTCAATATGTGTCCTATCCACTTCCAGCTCTTCTTCCTGATTTCTTCCTCCACTGGAATCTGGTTTGTTCTCTCCCACAGTTTGTTGTTGCTGATAGTGTCTGGTCAACGGATCTGAAGTATCTTGTGTAGACAACTGTTAATATACACTTCTATCTTCTGGATGATGGCTTTCGCAGTTTTCTCAAAGTTTTCGCCTCATACAGTAGAACTGTCTTGATATTTTAATTAAAAATTCTGACTTTGGTGCTGGTTGGCAGTTGTTTTGAGTTCCCGATGTTCTTCAATTGTAGGTATGCTGCTCTTGCTTTGCCGATCCGCGTCCTCACATCTGCATCTGATCCACCGTGTTCATCAATGATGCTGCCCAGATATGTAAAGGTTTTAACATCCCCAAAAGCTTCTCTGTCAAGTGCGATTCGATTGTTGCATGTTATGTTGTTTCGGAGAATCTTGCTTTTCCATTTGTGTATATTGAAACATACTGCTGCTGAGGCTGCTGCACTGGTCGTCTTCTGTTGCATTT